AATTCCATTTTTTTCTCCATGCAGTGTTATCGCAGGCCACCATTTTGACTGTAATTTATACAGTCATGGTCAATAACATAAAATATTTTGCTTAAATGTGACCAAACTTCTTCAAACATGGGCTGTGCTGGATGTTTCAGAATGTTTTAACTGCATTAGTTACAAGTTCACAGCATTAGTGCAGTTTTGCTCTTAAAATCCTAGACAAGCAGAGACTGATAAAGTGGCCAGAGGGACCACCATTTTCACCTCATCTGACTTCCTGCAAAACAAAGGCCACAGGACTTCCTGAATTAAGCTCTTTTCAAGCAAGAGCATGTCTTCTAGGCAAACAAGAGACAGAGAATCCATTAGTTCTGCTAAAAGAATTTAAAAGTGTTAATTTTATAGACAAAAAAAGGGTGATGAATGTACTAGCAAATTAACCGGCAGTTCATTGTGTATTAGAATGGACCTGTGTGACTCTCTTACTTTCATCCATAGCAGAGAAACGGAATGGCAATTTCAAATGCAGAGTAGCATTCAGTGGTAATAGCTGCAACTGCTGCTGGGAACCTACTCTTGAAATCTCTAGCAGGGAGGCAGCGGAGCGTTGAAGTCAGATGACTGAACCAGGTAATACCCTCAGCTGTCCAACCTGCCCTGACATCCATCACCGTTGCGGGGAGGCTTCGATGTACAGAGCAGCACCCAAACACCCACAGTTTTCAGTTTGGTGTATGAAGGTAAGCAGCCAACTCTAGGAGATGGGGAGCACCTTTAAGGACTTAGATTGTGCTTTCCCTGGGCTTGTGATGGTAAACTGCACTAAAGAGGGTGTGGGGCAAGGGTACCTTTTCTACTCTGTGGGCAAAATCCATTGGCACATGCAGAACAGAGCTGGGGTATTTAAGAACCCCAGAGCTAACTAAATATCTGGGCTTCCCTTTCTTTTGCTCTGGTGTTTTCAACGCAAAATTGATCAAAATTCTGTTGATCAGAAGCAATTCCTTCCCCCCCCCCCCTTCTCTCTGCTGTCTCCATAAAGCTTCATCTCTGTAGAATATCTTTTCATAACTTATTTCTACACTTCTGTAGGTCTTTCAATTTGGTTTTGTTGCCAAAGAAACTGCTCCAGCCTTCAGTCCCAGTGTTCCCAGTCTCAGTCCCAGTGCACTCCTTCCTCTCCCTGTTCACATCAGAGCTCTCTGGATCATAACCTTTATTTTCAGAGGAAATGTCTTCACCCCAGAATGTGAACTCTGACTGGATTCTGCTTATTTCAGCAAAGTTGTTACCAAGAAATTCATTGCAGGTCACTTAAAAATCTTCCACGTTTAGGCCAAAGTCACGGAACTGCTCTGCTTAGCCTTGTTCAGTGTGTCTTAATAACATCTTACTTGTCACCGTTTGGGCTGGTATTTTCCAAGCCAAGCATCTGCCCCAGGTTTGGGGTTTGGCAGCTCCCAGCTAAACCACTGCAGTCATTTTCAAGAACAAGGTTAAAACAATATTTTGCCCATATTAAAAAATAACAACCCAGTTGCCTCATTCAGAACTATCAGCATCCCCATTTCTCAACAGAAGGAATTTGAAATGGAACACCATCACTGGCCTGGTTTCATCCATGTACCTCTTCAGTGGCAACTTGGAATTTGGCGGCGCCATTGCTGTGGTTTCACAGATGCGCATCCGAACATGACAAAGTCGGAAGGCTCCGCAGCATCTCGGTTTGCACGTGATGGGTTAAGAATTGTTAGCTTTTGGCAGCTAAATTTTCCAAAGATGAGCCTGTGCTGACAGAGCCATTCCGTGTTCGGCATCTGCCTGGCGTGCAGGCACCATGTGCAGCTCTTTCACAGAGCAACCCAGTATGCTCTTTGCCTGAGGCACTGGGAACCAAGCAGCCTTTCTTTGCTATATCTCCTCCTGCATTCCTAAGAGATTAATGTTTGTGACATCTGGGTACTCCTGTGCACATCATCTCCCCTGTGTGCATCATCTCCCCTGTGTGCACCATCTCCCTTTCTTCTGTTGCTGCTGAGGCAGTGAGGAAAGAAGGCTGGGTCACCAAGACGAAAGGGTTTGGGAGGAGGCTGGTAACTGGCAGAGCACAGGAGGGAGAGGAAAGTGAGAAGCAGGAGCAGATGAAAGAGATAGATGCCAAGGAGACAACTATTATTGACCAGTGCTAGGACTTCTGCTAGGACATCATAGACAGAAATCAGTTGTGGAAGCAGTTCTTCATGACTAGGGGTTAAAAAAAGACTATATGTATCTACATAATGAGATTCTGCTATGCAGCAGGGAAAGGGTATGATACATAAGGTAAGGAGGTTAATAAGCATGATGGAGATAAAGATAAGATGCCAGGGGAAGTAATTAAGCAAAAAAACAGAGACTGGATATGCATTTGAAGGAAAGGAAACTAGGAGGTGAAAACAGAGCATAAAGAGTGGAAAAAGGCAAGAGCTATGGAATGGATATATAAACGAATCATGAAAGAGCAAGAGCTGGGAGTAATCTGACAAAACCACAGAGGAGAAAGAGAAGGCAGGAGCCAGGCAGAAGGGAGATTAGTTAGGAGCATCAAGGGAGAGGAGGAGTGTGGCTGCAGGCTGAACTCCTAAAGAATAGGCTGGGGTTTTGAGTCTGACATCAGTGCAAATCGTGATTTCTCTGTAATGGTGTAGGAGCAGGAGCTGGGTATGGCTATCTATAGCCACACTTCTTTTTCTTGTTAGAGAACTTCTTTATCAAATATTCTGGATCTCTTGAGCCAGAGCTCCAGAGTTAAGGTGACCGCGTGTCACTGTCTGTTTACTTTTCAGACTTCCTCTGACTTTATTAACAAACATTTCAAGTGCCTAAAGTGCAATCTGCTGCCTTTTTAGCCACAGTGAAAAACATCTCTGTAAAATACATTTGAAAACAAGTAATTCTGGACTTCTACATGGGGCTGCCACCAATGCCTCTCCCTGGCAGGGCAGAGCAAAGCCCTGTGATCAGCTCCGTGGCCTTCCACTGTGGTTGTTTATCACCTAAGGGGGCTTGCACCACCACCACAGTAATTAGGCACACTTCATCACAGTGTGATGCCATTGTAGTGTCATCTCCCACCAGCTAAGAGCAACACTGCCTGGAGACATGGGAAGAGAGAGGTGGAAAGGGCTGGGTGGCCTCAGCATGCCCACAGGCAGAGCAGAAATGGAGGCCCCTGGAGCAGGGGCCAGGGTGCTCAGCAGCTGGAGGTGTCCTGCTCGTGGTGCTGCTGCAGCTGCAGAGACACCAGAGTTACGCTCCTCCAGTGATAAATGTAGGGGGGAATGGTGATATTTGGCTCTAAGATGATGATTCAGCTTGAAAGCTGGAATTTCTTTAACATACATGGCAAATGCTTCCCCACAATCAGCATGTCTGGTCTGTTGTGTTCTCTGTCAGCTGGGAGGCAAGCTTTGCAGAGCTGAGCTGCTTTACTTTCCTTTTGAGAATGAAAGTAGCACTGCTGTCAGAAGATTAAGCTGTTGGTGTGTATCAGGTGATAGGAAAAATGACCCTGAAACTGCAAAAGGTCCATGTTTTGTATACTTGGGAGCTGCAAGTGTTGCTTTGCTGTCTATCTGTTTGCCATACTGATAGCTTAAAAACACATATTACACTCCAAGTAACAACTCCAAGGGGTAAGGCTGCTGTTACTACTTGGTTCCTCCTAAAGATTAAACAGAGCTAGGAGCTGATGCATTGACCTATTGCTTCTCGAAGCAGATCTCTGTTCGAATTCTGACCTACGTCCCAGCTAAAAATGTGCTCAATCTTTCCTTAATTTGTAATAGATACTTGTGTGCATTTCAAAACCATCTCGCAATTTGGCAAATTAAGTTGTCTGTGGTTAGCTCTGGAATTGCAGAGATATTGCAGTGCACTGCAGCATTGCATAACGAGCTTCCCCAGACTTTGCCTTACTCGAGCGAGTAACAGTAATCCTTATCTCGAGCGAGCATCAGATTCATCCCATTTTTGAGAAAAGAATTAGTATCAAATATACGATGGGCATGTTATGCCTTGTGGCTGCAATGTTTTTTCAATTAACTTCTCTGAATATACCACAATGAAAAGTGTCAGCTTTTTGCCTCAGAGGCCTATAATTAGATTAAATGAATACAGTTAATTATCTACTACCTTCTTTACACAAAACAATATGTTTCCATAAATTAAAATGCTGGTACACGAAGGAAATTGTTGTTCACTCCAATATAGGCATGCAGTGCTTGGATTGTGAATGCTGTGAATATATGACAGGGTAGCACAGCTTTTTTGTCTGCAGCCCTTATTTTACAAGAGCTAAACCAAATCACATCTGAAAAGTCCACAGGCATCACACTATTTCGAGCATATCTGTTGGAGCAAGGAGGTGATATTGAAAGTTACAGCGCTCATGAAACAAATACACTTTTCTCTTTCACTGATGTTCTCTATAAAATTCCCTGTCAGAGATTAAATACAGCTTTATTTGCACACCTACAGTCACACCCTCGAGAGCTATGGTGTGTCCAGATATAAAGCTGCTTTTTCTAGCAGAGTGTACTTCTCCTTTCAGAAATTCATAAGAAATACTCCATGTTGTAGGAGGTATTCACAGTTAACAGCTCGGTTCCCAGGCCTGCTGCTATTCCAGCCAGCATGGACTGAAAATCCCCTCTGCCTGCTCTCCAGCATTATTAAATAGAAGCAAAAGTTCATGGCTAATCAATATGCTCCTGTCCTGGCATGCCTGATTTGGAAGTGCAGCTATTCAAGCGGTGGCACATCATCTCGGTGAAAACATACCTAAAGCAGAAAGCACTCTCTAGGGTTTCACAAAGTGTATCCAAATGGCCCTATTTCCATCAGAATAGATGTTAATAACTTAAGGCCTAAACTTGTAATCCTCCCTCACCAGAAAATTACAGTTAACTTTAGCAGAAGCCCTCATTTCAGCCTGCGCTATGCTCTGTGTATAAATGTGATGTGTACCCAGGATCAAACCCTAAAAGCTTCCGAATACTCAGTGTTTCTATAGGGGATCGCATTTTACTGTGGTCTGGGCTGGGTGAGTATCTTTTCCTTTAAAGATTCCTTAGCTCCGTGGATGAAAGTGTTCATTAAAATATCACTGTGTTAATCATAATATTGAGGAGTGACAGGGCTGCTTTGCCATATAAATGCTGCCCCGTTTCCTTCTCTCAGGGTGTAACAGGAGAAAGAAAGACCATCTTGATAGGCACTATCTGCTGAAGGAAAACTTTTCACCAGGAGCTCTGCCTTGATTTTAACCTTTTAGTGGCCGCACTGCGAAGCAGAAGGGTTCATGCTTCCCACACAGAATGAAGCTGGTTTGTTTAAAATACTCATAAATGCCAGCAGCCCTCCTAATTCCTTCTGCAAATATCAGAAAGCAGTTATGGAGGCATAAAGAAATGCAACTGGAAACATGGTTCAGTGGTCTTGTACTTCCCTGAGAAGCTGATTTTGGCTGATTCAGTTGCTTTCAGAGGGAATTTACCCTTTTTGGCAGTTTGAGTTTCAGCAGTGCTGATTGGACTGGCGGCCGAAAATGCATCTGGGGCTGAGGAAATGAACCCGGGGTCTTTGTGTGTGTCTCAGGCTGAATTTTGCCTGCGAGATCTGGGGTTTGTCTTTTAGCCCCTCAGTGTCCCTGGTTGTGTGGGATTCAGAAGCCATTTTAACACTCCTTTCAACCCCGAGACGTTTCATTTATGCTTTTGCAGGTGCCTTGCCCAATTCCCTGCTTTCCCTGTCTGATTTATCTTTCAGGATAAGCACTAATGAAAGGTCAAGGTTATTCCGAAGTATCCAGCCCAGGAGAGTTCTCTCCCCCATCATTCCTCAAGATGAACTTCGCACAACTACCACTGATACCGTGCTGAAAGGTAATTCAGACGTTCTGGGAAGAAGCACAGGGTGACAAAGTGACCTTTAGCACTGGGAAACGTCCCTGGTGATTTGCACTTGGTGCTTCTTCAAAACGCAAGGAGCCATCTTACCACTCAGGGCCGTGGCAGAAGTTAGTTCTGTTTCGAGTGGAGCTCTGTAAATCAGGTCTGCAGAGGCAGGCTTGGCACATGTGGCTCTCAGAAACGTGCCGTGGGGTTCACATCGCAAGGTAATTTCCTCGCCTCTGTGATATAGAAACCAAGAAGGGTGGCTGCTTATTCATTTTGTTTCCCTGCTCTTTCTGCTCTCTGTCATTTCCAACAGAAGGCGCTCAGGCTGGGAGATCCACCTTGCTTCCCATTTTGTTAAGGAAACCTGGAGATAAACCTGCTGCTGTTTGTCTTCTATGGAGGAAGAGATGCTTCTGCATCCCTGAAACCTCGGGGCTGGGGGAAGCCCGGGAGCGCCGCAGCCCAGGCAGCAGCCACAGATACGTGCCATAACCATCCCCCCGGCGAGACGTGGGTCCCTTTCTGCGCTGTACTCACTGCGGCGGAGGGGCTGCGGAGGCATCGGGGTTATGCAGAGGAGGCTCCAGTCCGGGCTGCGGGGAGCGGGAGGGAAAAGAACAGAAGCAGGAGAAGGGAAGGGGAGGGGTGGAAGAAAAAAGGGGCTCAAAGTCACCACGAAACGCGGATGCCCCAAGCAGTTGGGGTGGGGATGGGGGGGGGGTACAGGGTGCGGGGTGCCCGGTGCGGCGGAGCGGGGACGCGGAGCGGCGGCTGCCCCCGGGGGCCGGGGCGAGGCGGTGGCGGAGGAGACAAAATAAATAAGATCAGACTGTTGGGGAAGGCGCGTAAATTTAAAACTGTTTGGACAGGAAGAGCGAGGGCAGGGGAACCGCAGCGCTGAAATAACGGTTTCGGGGCCGGCCGCGCCACCCCCTGCCCCGCTCCCCCCCGTTCCCCCGGGGCCGACCGACCTGCCCCGACCCTGCGGCCCCGTCCCATCCCCGTCCCTGTACCCCCCCCCGGGGGAGCCCTCCGGGAGCTGCACCGACATTTTGAATGCGTGTGTATTGGAGGCTCTCCCTTTCGCTCTTTCCTTCTTGCTCCCTTCATTCCCCCCCCCCCCCCCCGTTTTTATGCCGTGCCACGGTATAACAGTCCTCACAAATAAACGCCGCAGCTTCTTCCCTCCCCTCGCTCGCTGTTTCCCCCCCGCCCCGAGGGCATTTCAGCGCTGTAGGAAGTCCATGATAATACGTGGCTGCTTCTGGCTGCCCAGTGAGCTGCCAGGTACGTTCGTGGAGGAGAGCCTTTGCTTTCTTCGCAAAGCTAAAACGCGATGGGCTTCCACCGGTTTAACTCCTTCTTCACGCCAGCAACGCAGCGGCGTTTCCTGCGAAGCTAATTCCACCTCCCACCGTTGAATAGAGCACTGATTCCTCTCCTCTCCCCACACTGAAAACTGGAAGGGAAGTCTTCCCGTGTCCCTAAATGTGCAGTTATTTCCTGAGCTGGGTGCCCCCTCCGAAGTCCCTGAGCCCTCCGGGGCTTTCCCCCTCTCTCCCCCCCCACCCCGGTCCCAGACCGGCCCTTTCCACCCTCTCAGCAAGCTGCTGCCACACATTAAATACAGTTTTTTTCCCCTGTAGGATCCCTTTGCAGGATCTGGCCCTTTCCCAAAGGAATTCCACAGCCCCCGCCGTTGTTCCGAGGGTAATTTAGAAACAAAGGTCAAGTGCAACAGCTTTGCTCATCCGTGGAACAGAAATAGGGGAGAAGGCTCTTTCCCCACAGCTCTGTGCTCTCGCAGCCCGCTCAGGGTGAATCCTGGTACAGCGACAGCTCCTACTCCATTTCTTCCCATGTTTTTGTGCTTGCTGCATTTATTTCTATGTAACCACCTCACCTCGATCCTATATTGGTTACTGCCTCTCCCGGGGCTAGTGCAGGACAATTTCTGCTCCTGCCTGACAAACTCGCTCTTTACTTGGCTTATGTCTCAATAAAAGCCTTCGGGAAGATTTCGTTCCACCCCACACGCTGCAGGTTTGCATCCTATTATCTTCCCGAAGAGGCGAGTTTGTGAACCTGGACCCCCTGATGTCGCCAGGCTACTTGGCAAAAATCACACCAGTGACTTCTGCAACCACATCCGACACCAGAATCCTTGTGCGGTCTCAGGATTCCCTGTCAATGACACTCGCTTCACGTTACTTTCCCCTCGCTCAGGAAATGTAAAGACTTCTCCCTGGTTTTACTGACCTTCTCCCTGGTTTTAGCTGACCCAGCCCCAGCAACAAGGCGCCTTTTACAACCTACAGACCCCATAAGGTGCATGGAACCCACCACCCGATTCCTCCCTTGGTTTCCCAGAGGCTTCCTGTAGTAACCATGAACTTCTTGGGACAATTTTGGCTTTTCAAAATATCTCAGTAGGAATTTCAATTTACAATATTCTTTCCGAGAAATGGGCTAGTTTACAGAGAAAACGCAGCAAAGAAAAGAAATAAACCCTACCTTTAAACCGGGCTTAATATCAGACGTGACTCACCCCTAACGCCATAGGCGGGACCGGGGTGTAACACGTCCTGGCTGTAAACGTGAACTTCTGGCACTCAATAAACGCCGCTATTCCTGGCGAGGCGGGGCATTTTACTCGGAAAAGCAGTTGTTTTATTCAGCCACTGCTTAAACTTTGGCTTAGCCTGAATTAAACGCTGATGGAGCTCAAAAAGGGGTTGGTAGGAAGGGTTTTCTAGCAGCACAGGTGACAAATAAGAGAGAAATCCGTATTACCTTTCGGATGGGAGAAATCCTGGTGGAAGAGCGGATTTCTGCGCCATGGGAGGAGTGCGGGGCACTGGCTGGAGGAAGAGAAAGCTTGGAGCATCCTCCAGGACGCGAGGAAAGGAAGACGGAGAGCAACAGCGTTTGGGTCACTCCACCTCGGGGACCTGCTGATTACGTTGCCCGGGTTTTAACGCTTCGGATGGGTTTAGTGCTCTTTACAGAGGGTATATTGCGGGTTATTGCCCCTGTGCCAGCCGCCGGGGTTAATGATCCCTCGTCAACAAAAAGCGGTAACAAAAGCGCGCAAAACTCCGTATTTCACAGAGGTTTTTAATCAGAAAACACAGCAGCGTGACAGAGCGGATGGTAAACGTGACAGGCAGCTTCAGCAGAGCACTTCTTACTTGATAAACGGTAGTAATTGAACTGGGGGGGGGGGGTAAAAATCTCCGGTATTTTTAAGAGTTAAAATCTAAACTAAAGTACACCCCCTCCTGTTTTTAAGCGCTGTTTTCAGTACAGTTCATTCCACATCGATTTAAAACCTCCTATTTTGCGCAACTGAAATTTAGGCAATTCAGAATAAAGCACTTGAAACTGCCCAGCTGTCCCAACAACTGGAACCTGTACAAACGTTATAAGTTGCATACTAAACTCCTTCCAATACGGTGCTAAGTGTCCTTAGCTCCTAACGTTGTAGCTGGAGAAGAAAATGAGTCTGGGGAATCCTCTCAGCTGTATTGCAATGGGAAAAATTCAGTGGTTAAATTGGGTTTTAGGTGCAAGCAATAACATCATCTCCTGAATACCAAAGTGCTGCTTCCTAAATGTCACTGTATCCCGATATTCCTGCTTTGGGAGATGCAGCCCCCATTGAGATAGTTTATTTCCAGGCAGAACGGAACAGCTGGTGAAAGCAAATAGTCCTTAAACAGCATCTAAACTGCACCCAGCTTATGGAGCGAGCAGAAAACGTGTTGCATCGCATCCCCCGCATCCTCCTGCCTCCCACAAAGGTTCTCTGCTGCTTGTTTTGAAAGTAGAAAAATCATCTCGTTCAGTGCACAGTAAACACGAACCACTCAACTGGGCTGTTTGAAACCTCTGGCCATCAGAACACCACCACTTACACTCTTTCTGGTAACTAAATTCAAAACCAGTTTGGTGAGAGTTTAAATACAGAAAGGGGAAAAGTGACATCTACGTTTGGAAAGCGAGTGACCTACTGCTACAAGCTGTTGCTAGTGTCAAAATGCAGCTATTCCCCAAAGCCTCTAAGCGCCGTCCTCTGTCCTCAGGCCAAGCAGCCTTTGACTTCAAGCTCTGCCCAAGCAGGGAGATGCAGGTTACCCCTCGAAAAGCTGTTTTAAGCCAAAAGCAGGTTTTCAAACCCTTAAGCCTGACTAATAAGGGGTGGCAAAAGGAGGGGGGGGGGAGAGGCGTTGAGGGGTGGGAGAAATCACAGTAGGCTCTTTTCTTTCCTTAAAAGCCCAGCAACATTAAGCATGTGAATATGTATTAATGACTTAATACAAATGACCTACAATAAATCCTAAAACTTGATACTTGGAAAACTAGGTATGAGCGACCGGCAGGTACACGGCTGAGTCTGTGAGTAGGCTGTAAATGGCAGGCATAAGAAATCACTGGGAGTGCGGGTTTAAAGTGTTTCTGTTACCTGTAAACCCACCTCTAGAATTTCTTGAGACTTACACTATCAGCTGTTCAGGAGGGGGGGGAGAAAAAATAATATATATATATATATATAATAATAGAAGTAAGGTTGCAACGAATGTTATTAAAAAGGAGGAGGAGAACAAAAAAAATACTGAGGAGGGTGAAGGCTCAGTGTCCGAGTGGGGCTTAATCCATGGCTGCGGGGGAGAAGCTGCTGCCCTCCAAGAGCTTCACCACGGCGGATCTCTTGTAGAGCTTGGCCAGGTCGTAGGCAGTGGCCCCCCGCTTGTTCTGGTGGCCCACCTTGCACTCCGCACGGGCCAGCAGGACCTCCACCACCCGGACGTGCCCCTCCCGGGCCGCCAAGTGCAAGGGCAGGTTCCCCTCATCATCCTCGATGTTCACATCAGCCTTGAACTCCAGCAGAGTCTGCAAAGTGTCCAGAAACCCCTCTCTGGCTACATCATGAATTACAGCAAAGCCAGTACTGTCCTTCAGATTGGGGTTCGCACCGCTAATTAGCAACCTCCGGGCAATTTCGGGGTTCCCCAGCTTCATCACCTAGGAGAGATGAAGAAGAGTTGAATACCGAGGGATGGGGTGGGGGGGGATTGCTCCAGCACAGGGCTTAGATGCTCAGTGCTTATCCCTGGGTTCTGCTTCGGCTCAAATCCTCATGTCAAGCAGAGAGGGGAGCCCCCCTAGAAAGCTAACGGCACAGCAGAACATCTGGTTTTTCATGTATTTTTCACTAAACCCGGTTAAAGATGTTATCACTTCGGTGGTAATGGCTTTCTGTCTCAGGGAGATTAATGACTGGAGGAGGTGACATAGAATGGAGATTTTTATACCATTATTATTATTATTATTACTATTATTATTATTATTTGATGTGGGTTATCTCAGTTTCTCAGCACACAAACATCAAGCACTGTTTGGTTTCATTTGCCTGATCACTGAGACACCTTCGCATTACTCCTCAGTCTCCTTAAACACCCAGCCCAGGGTCTCTGAGGAGCAGCTATTTCACCTCAGCAACAGCAAATGTGCCGTGTGTTTTTATAAGCTCTCAGGTGTTTACATTGTCTGTGCATTATCATAAAACAAATATTTGCACTGTACCATAGCTCTGTCTGCTAAGACAAATAAATGCTACAAGAAATTTTTCCTCCCTTATATTTGTGCTGCGTTAGGTCACCCAAAAAGGAGAAGTTACAAGGAATGGCTCAAAGTCCCAGAAGTTTCCTTCTCAACCCAGTACATTACATTCTACTTTCATCATTCCAATCTGAGCAAACCGTGGCTATATTCTGCTGTTAAAAACTGCCCTTTTTGAAAAACAACAACAACAATAATTGAATTTTCTGTTTCTCTCAGAGAGGGGAAAAAAAAAAAAAGCTTATTTGAATTTTTTCAGTTGCGTCATAAAACGATCAGAATTCGAACGCAAATCTCTCTTATTTGGGGCTTCACAGCTTGCACCGATTCCCCCTAAATTCCTATTTTTTTTTATCAGCACAAAGGGGGTTTTTACATGAACGCAGTAATGTATAATCTCCAGCCTATGGGCAGCATTTTCCTGTCCTTGCCATTAGTCCCAGTGCAAGTGTCAAAATCGAGTCAAAATAACAATAAAAACCTTTCTTATTTCCTGAGAAGCGCCAAAAGTGATTTGAAAATCTTGGTAAAAAAAATTATGTGCATAAAGGAGCATGGCAGTGCCTTGGGTTTAGCAAAAGGTACGATTTCTACAGGGGGTTTTGCTGTAAAACTCTCCTGGTGAGAAATCTCGGTTAGGCTATTTAAGAAAAGCAAGCTCTAATAAATACAATTAGTGCAGCGTTTGGGCTGTAAAGCAGCCCGGTATATTCTATCTACAGATCAGAGAAAAAGTGCAGATAAGACAGGCTGGGATTCAGGGAAAAAGATCTGGGATTCAGGGAAAGGGATCTCTCTGTGCCCCAAGGCTTCCAGCTGCCTGTGTGCCACTTCTTTCACTTCTGACCAGAGATGGAAGAGATGTAAAAGAAAACAAGGGCATTGCGATCTCTTTTTCTTTAGTAAAATCCGGACATTTTGGTCTCTTTTGGAGAGCCCAGGCTCTGCATTATTTGGGAATTCAAAACATGTATTTGGGAGTTTTCTGTGTTCGGCTCAGAGGACCAGAGGCTTCAGCTACAGATGCAGGGGGGGGGGGGGGGGGAAGAAAATAATCTAAAAGGTGATGCTCGTGGGTTGTGGGCTACAACTGCACAGCAAATGCCCTTTATTTTGCAAAGTTTCACTCGAGGGGAGGGAGGCAAAGCAGGAGAAAGCATTAATAGAATAAGGCTGACAAAAAGCATTAGGGCAGGAGATGTATTTGAGGCCTGCATAGGTACACTTCACCAGGAATAAAAAGGACAGAGCAAGACAAGCTGAGCAGTTGTTTAATTCAACATAAATGCAGGAGGAAAATATAAATTCATTGGTATTAATCCAGGAGCATTCACCCCGTTTTATCTGAGGGGGAGATTACAGAGAGATTATCCCCGTTTGGGAGAGGGCACTGACAGAGAGCTCTTTCGAGTGTGGTCGATGATACATATTGAAAATAAGTCGACAGATTCCCCTGTTTTGATTTTTGCCGTGGTTCATTAACTCAGATATAATTAGGCAGCGATAAGAAGCATTGTTAGGACACAGATGTGTGTTTAAATAGAGCTGGGTGCTGGATCATTGTGTAAAATATGCCTTAATTCGGGATACGGACAGTTAGCTGCTTTTAAGGGGAGAAAAATAAATACACCACTGTGGGACACATCGGTTTTCAGCCCCTGTCCCAAGGATAAACCAGCTTGATGAATGTTTCCTGCTTTCTTAAAGAAGTTAGTTTGTCTAAGTTGTTAATTTAAACCCTTTCACTCTCTTAAAAGTTGCTGCAAGTGCCTGCGCTGCCCTGCGATGCCCTATTTAGGTGCTAACAGGGCAGAGAGGAGCTCACAGAGCCCCAGCTCCAGCGAAATGGTCAAAAAAGGGTCAGTGCTGCTTTTTTAGCAAGAGGGGCTCATTTTCCAGCTCTAGCGTTTTGATGGTGAGCCAAAAAGTTGTAAATATCTCGGGTACATTCGCAAGCTCTCTGCTGTGTAAAACCCCATTTTTCAAGCAATTATTGTTGTGGTTGGGGGGGGGGGGAAAGAGGAGTTAACAAACGATTTTTCTAACATTGAGAAATTAAGATCTATAGCTGCACTTCCACGTTTCATTACTTATACCTTAAGTATACAAATAACCAGACATCACTATTATTATTGTTATTATTATTCCCTCCAGATTTATAAATCACATCCTTAGCTTTTTGGTAGATATTTTAACCTTTTTTTTGCCATCATTATCTGATATTATTAAAAGCAAAATCTTTCATCAGCTCCAGCAGTTGGACGAGTTCCAACTCCTGCCTTGCACAGCCACACACTTAAAAATTAGGACATAGCACCCTATACGATCAGAAAGGAAATAGCTGGAAGCGGTGCCCCTGCTAGCCGAGCTGAAAAAAAGCACATTTTAAAGCCTTAATTATGAATGGAAAATAAAAGGAAGAAGAAGCAAAAAGCAGCAAGTGATCCGGCTGGATCCCTGACTCGTAGGGCTAAGCCTGAGTGTGCATCGGAGGTCCTCGGTGCGGAGCAGCATGCTTCCCGATGAGAAAGGTCATTCCTCACAAACAGCGTAGAAAGGAAAAGTACCATCTACAGCAGCCCCAGACCCGAGACGAGCCAAGCTTTAAAAGCAGATCGCAGGCAAAAAAAAAAGCAAGGAGAAAAAAAAAACACAGAGGAAAAAAAAATAGAGAAATCCTAAGCTCAGAGAACAGCACATTGGTGTTTACAGACCTGCTCACCTAAGCTGATTTCTTTTCATCTCAGCTCTTTCATTCCTTGCCTCCTCCCCACGAAGTTACAAAATATCAGCAAACTCGCAGCCCGTTTGACATTGAGGGTGATTCCCCGGTTGAAATCACGGTTTTGACCAGTTTTTATTTCAAGTACGTCATTTTAGGGAGCTGGAGCCACTAAAGTTATAAAATATGGCATCCAACGAGTTTGAAAAACCGCTCGAATTTCATCCACCAGCCTGCTCTCACAACCAAAATCAGAAAGTACGCTGTCTCTTTTGGCACCCCGGCTCACGGAGGTACCAGTGATGAACCATTTGGTTTGTTTTTCTTTTTGTCCTCCCTCTCTGGATACCAACCTGCAGCGCAGTCCTCCCAAATCCATTTTGTGCATTGACGTTTACATTCTTTTGCAACAAATTAGTAAGTTGCACTAGGTCCCCCTTGGCAGCCGCGGACGCCAGCTCGTTCCCAGAAGGCTCGGCCATTCTTTAGGGTGACTGACGATCGGAAAAAAGAGGAGATTTTTTTTTTTTCTCTCTTTTTTTTTTTTTTTTCCTCTCTCCTTTTTTTTTTTTTTTTTTTTTTTCACCCAGGCATGGCATCGGAGGCTGACAGAAGGATTGGGATGGTTAATCTTCTGGAGTAGACCTTGTAGTAAATACTCGTAAAAAACCTCCTTGCCAAGAGCCCGCCCCTAACTCACACGTGATTATTCGGCAAAAAGTGCAGCTCCACTTGAAAGAAGATTTCTTTGCTTCCACATATAGAGTAAACTCCTAGGAGAGACTTTGGCCTCTTTTCGGGGAGGTTGGGGGGAGGGTAGGTTAAGAGCTATGCGATATATGATGTATGTCATAGGTAACATATATACACGTACACCGGAGACTCACTCAGACCTGAGATCTCGGAAGAAGAAGACAACCCACCCTTGCTCACAGTCGGGATCTGAGACTTAGCAGCAACAGCTCCGAGGAAAAGTCTTCCGTAGCAGTGTGCATCCAACTCCCGCTCGGGATCCCGGTCCCCCCCTTGGCATCCCACGCCGCCGCCTCTCTAGTCCGGGCCGAGCACGGCAGGGTCGGACGGGCCGCGCCCGCGGCGCTCAGCCGCCGAGCTGGCTCCCTCGGTGCTCCCGTTCCCCGCAGCAGCTTCACTCCCGCGGCCCCGCGCAGCCTCCGCGCTGCGGGCGGGCGCGATCCCGGCCGGCGGCCGCCCCCGGCGGCGGCGGCTCCGGAGCATCCAGGAGAGCGGCGGGTCCTGGCGGTACCGGCGGCGGGGCGGAGGGTGCCGCTGTTACCGCTGCCCGCCGCCAGCCGCGCCTCTCGCCCCGGCGGGGAGCGGAGGGTGAGCTCCGGGCAGGGGCAGGGGCCGCTCCGTGCCCGGTCCGACGCGCAGTGACAGCCGCCGCTCGCCTCTTCTTTCAACTTCGCGAAATAAAGCTGCACTTGCCGGTCCCGCGGTCGCTGCCTCCGCCCGCGGCTTTGCGCTCCCCCTTTTTTAAGCACAAACAATTGCTACTTCTGTTTCCTACGGACACGAAGCCGGTTTCTCTCTCTCTTTTTTTTTTTTCCTCCTTCTCTTCCCCCCCCCCTCCCTTTTTTTTTTTTTTTTTTTTTAACCTCATCAGCTTTTTTTGAAAAGAAAAAAAATTTGAGCGCTTTTTGAGTTGAAACACCCGCCCACATTTTAACGGCAGAGATTTAAGGAGGCGCGGCGGAGTTGCGGCGCGGCCGGGCAGGAAGGCCTGCAGCGGCCCCGGCCCGCGGCTCCTTGTGTCGTTCCCCGGCCTTGCAGAGCCCGGGCACGGCGCTGCCCCGCCACGGGCATAGCAGTCAGGGTGCTTTTAAGAGGAGCGCTGCTGAGGCCTAGGAGGGAGAAGAACGGGAGACAGGGGGGGGAAATGAAAGGAAAAGGAGGTTTTAGCAGCGGGAGCCGCCGCGCCCCGGCGGGAGGACCGGGGATCGGGGAAGCGCGGGCGGAGGGAGGGCGGCTTCCAGCCGCGGCTCTATCCGCAGCTTCCCCCCGGGCTGTCTCCACCTGCCCGAGGGGGGAGCGGACCCGGACTCGCGCCCAGACTCGGTCTCGGCCCCGCCGCCCTCGCTCGGCACCCCGCGGGACAGCGGCTCCGGGGCCGGGGTTTACCCCGGCAGCGACGCGGGCTCCTGTCCCCAAGGACAAGGTCAAGGATGAAGGGTCAATGTCAAGTTGTCTTAACAGTGGAAAGCGACCGTCCACGGCAGCACTCCTTGCTTTCCGCGTTCCTGGCATCCTTGATTGATTTGAAAGTGCCATTTTGAGGGAGAAACGCACCCAGCCACCGAGAGGACGTGAGGGCTTCGCTTTTCCTTCGAAGAGCGGCGAAGTGAGGATGGTACAAACAGCACGGGGATGTCAACGCCATTCTGCCTAACAGCTTTTAATGTCTGCTTTAACGGCCGGATTGCTCTAAGTTTCAGGGACCCTCGGGACACTGGCAAAGGCAACCTCCGAGAGGTAAGATGCAATGTCACGGCTCCCTGATAAGCACACGTATCCTCTCGGTCCCGATTTACAGCACCAGAACCAGCCTGTAAGGGGTGACCCTGCACCCCGGGTACGGGGGTCTGCTGGAGGAACCCGGTGTGGCTCTCTCCTCCCAGCTTCGGCTACTTCTTGCTCCGCGGTCACCTTTTCCTGTCCTGATTTCCCCCCCCCCCCCCCCACCTTGTTTTCCACCCCGCGCTTGTCTGTGAAAACACGAAGGTGACAACGAATTGTCTGCATGCGGAGCAGGGAAAAACGGCTTTGCTCAGGTTATCCAGTGACTCCCGCTCCCACTAAAAGGCGCATTTTTATGGGCCTCATTATGATAATTCTCGGCCAGAAGTAACAGTGCTAATAGTTCTTTTAACAAAAAAATGGGAACGATAATTTCCCTCAAAGTTAACTCGAGAAATATATATTTATAAATTGCATCCTTGTATTCAATTACAGTTATTTTTTCTGTATAAAGAGGAAATTTATGTGCAAAACTTCGATTATTCAGTCAGACGGCTTATAAATAACTTATTTAATGCCTAAAAATCCACAGGCTTCGGTGGTGTTACCTGTTGCTAACTCACTGCAGAAGTAGAACTGCCGGTCTTGTAACAGTCTCCCCATTTTTTTTTGGTCTGTTTTAGAGCTCAGAATAAAGCCCCATTTTCTGTTAATCACACCACATCACAAAAATAGTGAAGTGAAGCTCGGCCGGGGTGCTGCAGGCCTCCTGCGAGTACAGCTGCCCGGCTGGAACATGCCGTCAAACCGCCTTCGCCTTGTGGAGCTGTCAAAACACCTCGCAGAGAGCAGCTGGTTAATCCTGATCGTTTCCTCTCCGCAACGATCAAGATACTTCTCCTGAACGAGAAAGATTTGCCCCGATCAGCTCTAAAACCAGCGTCAGAAACAGCTTCTTAGGGGAAACAAACATTATCACCGGGCATTGGGAGGAGTTAAATGAGCGAGTGGTCCCCCGGCTCCCCGGTTTGTCTGACTGGTTGGAGGACGAGAAGCACTTCGAGTGGCTCCGGGCGAGGGGATGGGAGGAGGAGAGCACAAACTTTCACCGTGACTCTATCGTGAACTTCCTGCGGTGCGGGGCACACGTGCAGCTTTTCACCTTTTCTTCACGTTCTGGACCAAATCCTTCCTGTTTTGATCTAATATAGATATCATTATTTAAAATATGGCTGTAATAGACGTGAACGCCGGGTAACTAACCTTGACAACATACCTATAGTTTCAGTTCCTGCCAGGAACTAATTGGCTTTAATCCAACTGTTAAAACTCGCTTTTCAGCCTTTATTATAGTTACTCTCTAGTAATGTGTGGGTGGATTTGTTTGTAGTTTAGCATAGGCTGTCCCTGGCATTGCACCATACCTTGTACAGAACTGTCTGTAACACCAAACTGGAGGGGGGGGGGGAAGGAAGGTAAATAAGATTAGGTGCGAGGGCAATTACTTTATCATCCCGGTGGTAGGGAGCTCGAATTGTGAAGCTAATGTCAGTGGGCAATAAAAACCTCTTTGGCAAACCCTGCTAACACAAATTAGAGCAGGAACACGATAAAATATAAACCCCAACGTCTCTGACACTTGGTTTTACATCGCAAGTGGTGTTTCGGTGTGGCCTCAGCCCGCCTGGAGACCCCGAACGGCCCCGGCGCCTTGCAGCTTCCCAGCTGCGCTCGCAAACAGGCTTTAAACAATCCCAGGAGTATTTTCCTTGGGAACACGGGCTCTCCTGCGGGTACAGGCTGTCTTTTCCTACTTCCCCATCCGCAGGCAGTGTTCGGTCTGTCCCACCGCCGAACGGTGCGGGAGCGCCGGGCTCTACCCGGTGCCAGTGCGGCCGGCAGCAAGGAGCTCGCAGAGTCCGGGAGACCCGTCCATAACCCTTACGGAGAGAGATGAAACAGATAAAGAACAGTGTTTCCTAAAAACGACAAAACAACTTGGTTCAAGGCACCATCGTGTGGCTTTATTAGGGAACAGGAAAGGTGCTGGATGCGTCTGGGACCTCAGGTAGCTGCGGCGCCCATACGAAGAGCACAGCAAGGCACGTCGGGCTAATTAGCAAGCTGGCTTCCAAATGCATGCTAAAGGAGTAGGTGAACGGCATCAGGTTGTAGCAAGCAGACTTAAAAAGCATTAATTAGTTAGATTTGCATTACTTAAAAGGAAACATGTATCTTGGGTATACAATGCAAGTGCTTCTTACAGTGCTGAAGTGCTAAGCTGGAGCGAGGGCCGCTGTGCAGATCACGGTCTGTTGGCTCAGAAACCCGTGGAAAACGCACGTCCTCCTTTCGAGAGAAGTACAAAACCGGGGGGCAAACCACCGCCTGCCCGCGGCCGCCGGTCGGTGCGTGCCCGCGGGCCCGGGGGTTGGATGTCAGGTCACTCAGCGAGCACCAGTATCCGGGCTGTCAGAGCAGCCACAAGCCGCGCTGCGGACCGGGTCACTGCCCTCACTGCTGCGGCCGCCATCCTGCCGCTCCTGTGCCGCGGCGGCACAGACGGCGCTCCGCTGCGCACTGGGGACACAGCCGCCCTCCTCCTGCATCGGCCCTTGTTCCCCCCCCCCCCCCCTCCCCGGGACGGCGGGCCGGGCCCAGGCTCGCTGCAGCCGCGCCCTCCCCTCGCCGTTAGGCCGCAGCCGGTAGCAGAACCCAGCCGGGCCCGGGCAGCCGCCGCCAACCGCTAGGAGAGGGGGGGCGTTGTCAGAGCCAGCGCTGCCGCCGGCCGAGCAGAAGGCCGGAGCTGCCCCGCCCGCTCGGAGGAGCCGCTGACCCCGCTCTGAGGCCAGGCCGCGGCTCCTCGGTGCTGAGGCGGCCCGTCCCCGCACTAAAGGCCTACGCTTGGGCCGCGGGGCTTGCTCTGCACCGCGGTGCCGCCACCGCTACGAGAAGCCGAGGGGGGGGGACGGCAGAGGGGGGAGGGGGCAACACACGCTCGCCTCGGCCCCGCCTTCCCCGGCTTCGCGAGCGGTTGACAGGAGGGTGGTCACGTGCCGGCCGCAAAGCGCCTCTTTGCGACCTCAATGACAGGCAAAATGTGCGACAGGCGCTGTGGAGGCAGGGAGGGAGCGGCGCTGCCTCCTCCTCCTCCTGCTGCCGCCCGGGCCAGCGGCTGAGGTAGCGCTGCCCGCTCCCGGTCCCGGCCTTCTCCCGCAGCCCCGCTCGCCTCTCTCCTCCCTTCTCCCCTCGTTCTTCTCCGCACGCCGCCGTCCGCGCCGAGTTGCTGAGTTGGGGCAGCCCCCAGAGCGCCGCGGGAGCCCGTGAGGAACCGGGCGCCTCGATGAGCTCGTAGCTCCCAACCTGCCCCGTCCTCGCCGGCAGCAGCTCCAGGTGCGCGGGTCAGAGCAGAGCCGGGGACGCAGCTGGCTGCAATGGCGTCCAACATGGACCGAGAAATGATATTGGCTGATTTCCAGGTAAATTTCAAGCCGCCGCCACACAACCGTGGCCTCTCGCTGCTTTTCTCTTTCTCCTCGTTGCTGTGCTGCTGGTTCTTTGTGGGAAGGTCTAGGGTGGTGGGGGTGAAGCCCACCCTCCACAGCCTCTTGCTCTTTCTTTCTTTCTTTTTTTTTTTTGTTTTGTCAGAAATGGGGAACGTGTGCCCTCTCCTCTCAAGGTGCGTGATCAAAATGTCTTAACTTAAAGAGTTTCGGGTTTTAATGAAAACAGAAAAGCTTTTTCCGTCCATTTTTGCTTGTTCCAACCCTCTGCAACCACCCCAGGCCCTGGGACAGCTGTGAGCCAGCTCACTTGGAAGAGGCAAATGCCAGGGAGGATACCAAACTCATCACTCCTCATGATTTGTCACAGTGTTTGTAATGAATCACTTACTGGTACTACAGATTAGAGCTGGGCAGAGGTGTTTCCATTATAACATCAACACTAGCTTCACGGTTGCCTCAGCTTATGACTGTTGTAATGACGGTAAAAGTCTTCCCGCCCCATTCCAAACAACAACATGTTTGTGTAGAAAGGAGCAATATGCCTTTAAAAGCTGTTTGTTATGTTCCTTCCTCCCTGCAAAAGGGTTATAATTTAACTTCGAACTCTTAAATCTCATTCCCAGAATAAAGTTTTTCTCTGAATAAAAGTGATGTGTTCAGAAACTTGGTTAATCTGTTCAGTATATTGCTTCCTAATATTGCTTGCTCTTACATGGTTTTTCTAAGAACAAATATGTGGAAGTTGCCTCCATTTGTAATAGTGGGGAGGGCCCAAAACAGAGTGGAAGGGTATCAGATTATCTTTCAATATATCTTTTAAATATTTACTTTTTAATCTTTTTGGGTTTTTTTTTGGAAGCTTTTTCCATTTCCAGTGATTATTCTTACATGGATAAGCTGTCGAATAATCTTGGATTCAGTTGTAGAACTGCTGTCTCTGTGTCCGACTTCTTAAAAGACTGTTTCTCAGCTGCTATCTTAAAATAATCCCTTTGTTCACTCTGTGTGTGTTTAACAGGACTGTTTCTTTGGAATTACAGGTAGGGTGACTGTCATGTACATTATGTAATTCCCCTTTACAAAAGGTATCTGATATCTCACTGATGTAACACATGGAGTTCCCAGCTGATAACAGGGGAGTCTTTTCCCTTTTTGTACCCGAGTGCCTTACACCCATACTTATTAAAATGTTTAACAAAGATTTCTATAAGGATCTTTTATTTTGTTCTGCTTGAAGGTGCTTTTGTGTGTGCAAGGAGGGACATCTCAATTGTAAGGCTGGGGTTTCATAAGGGAGTTCTTCCAGTAACAGTACACTGTGTATGAGAAAACCGGGGACCCTGATTCTGTGCTCATGCTAGTGGAGACAATCTTTTATGGAATCCCACTTTTATGAAATTCCCTGAAATAGTTTTAAATTCAGGAATTCCAAGTTAGTGGCTTGTGAATGTAAGATTATTTTTGTTGTAAGAGAGGTTTCAATCTGTATCCACTTCCCAAGTTTTTAGTGTCAATGCTGTTTTGCAATATTTTTGTGCTTGAGTTTTGAAACCAGTTAATAAAGGCATAAGAGCAACTGCAGTGTTGGTACCACGAAGACAAGTAAGTATTATTGAAAGCTTGCAGAAGGGCGGTGGAGTCACAGAAACCAGTTGTAGATCAAGGATGACATAATGTGTTTGAACCTAGACCCAGGAAGTATTTTATCCTATAACAGTACTTACTTAAAAAGAACCCAAACCTTTTCTTCTTGTATTTCAGCAGACAACTTTGCGTTTGTTTTTTTTTTCTTTTTATTTCACTCTCCCTTTCTTTTCCTTTCTAAAAATCCAGTCAAGCTTCTGCCTGATTCTGAAACACTGACCTGGTAATTGTCATGCTGCTAAAGCTTCAGATTAGCAAAGGACAATGTCAGGCATTATTAGGCCTTGTATCTTGCAGAGTGGTAAAGGATTTGGGGTATTTTAAGCACTTGATGGAATTTGCAACTCCTTCACTAAGAATTTAAAATGGAAAATAAAACATTATGTGCAAAGTAATTCTGCATGGTTTTCCCTTCTGTATTTTCTGTACCTTTTAATTAATAAATGTTTTTCTCAGAGTTCTGCTGCTATCTTCTATATTTGTATGAAGTATCTTGTTGAAGAATGTTGTGCACACTGAAAAACCTAAGAGCTATTCTTTGCAGTTTTGTTCATCTCATCGTTGCTGAATTGAGCTGGGAGGGAAACTTCTATTTCACTCTTGCCTTTCCCAGTTACATTTAAGAAGGGTAGAGCAATGTCTGAACTTTTAAAATCTGAAAGTATTTTCCCCCATTATAAAACTTGTGCCTTCAGTGAAGTCATGATTATACTGATATCTGATGCTTTTATGGAGCTCTCATGGGCTTATTTGATACCTTTCAAAGCCATTGATTTCAGCTAGAGCAGGATTTTGTACTGTGTTTGGTTTTCCCTTTTAGCTCTCATTGTTGTAACAGATTGCTTCTCTGAGGTAACTAGAAGGGAATGCTTTCCAAAATATTTTGTATATATACACATGTATGCATACAAGCACTGCATAATTTTATTAAAGATTTAAACTATAGAGCAAACCACAGTAAGTGATCTACCAAAATGTTTTTTTCGTAATGTCTCAAAACAATTTCAGCCTGTTCTGTGTGGTTTGTAATTATTTTCTTTCCTTTTTTAATGAGGTTACTGTGTGCTACCCAGGGAGTACAAAGTAGGTATTCATACATGTGGGCTGTGTAAGCAACCTGTCTAACTTTTCCTTCTTAGGCTCTCACTTAGGAAAGATTATGCAGAAGCTTAACTTTATACATGAGTAGTCTGATTGTTTTCAGTGGAAGTAGCTAAAGTAGTGGAGTTGAGCACACAAACAAGTTTTAGCTGTTTCACTAAATGCAATTCAGAATTTCTCCACAAAGTGTCATTGGCATATAGGAAAAACACCCAACAATTTCTGCTTCTGTTTGTAGCAGAAATTCTTTGAAAGGTAACTGCCTGTGAGCTGGTAAAAGGGTGATGCTGCAATATGCTGGGGAAAATAAGGGCATAAAATTCCTACCAGTTCTTGTCAACATCACTGTTCTCCTTTTGTTTGTTGTGTTTAACTGTAAAATGGTATCCCACTGGAGATGGAAGAACCAGGTACTTGCAAGATACAATTAATGATCTATGCAGCCTGGGGTCCATTTTTCATTATAAAGAAAATAGATGTTTTTCTTTTTTTTTTTTCCTTTTTAAACTATAAATTTCAGTTGCACTGAACTTGGTTAAATTGGCATAGTTTGGCTGTTAAGAAATGAAGAACAGTCTTTCTTTACACATTGGCAGAAATGTCGGATGTTGACATTTTTGTATGCGAGCACTTCTGTGAAACAGCTTCACCTAGGATAGGGACTAAAATTATCAAGAATATCTTTTTGTCACTACAAGTTATACCCATCTACAGGACCACTTTATTCATGCTATGTGGTTGTCCTTCCAACAATTTTAAATGTAGAGCCTAAGTGTTGGAGTACTGTGGGAATTTCCAGCTCCTGGGTGCCCACTTATTACAAGAATATCTGGCGTGTGGAGCTTCAGGAGGAGGTTTTTCATAGAACTCACATTTTCCATTGACAAAATAAACAAGCAGCTCAGTCTTCTGAGCTAAGTCTTCCCACCCAGTAGCTCAAGTCTGGGTGGAAAGACTTTGGAGTAGAGTGGCAGAACTAGGAAATCCTTGTTTTTATTGAAACAACAGATACCTGATAGTTTTCTTCCTTCTGTCTTTCATCTGTATTCATTGTGAAAAAGTTACATGAGTATTTTTCCTTTTTGCAGTTTTTTTTACCCCTTATACTGGGTATCAGACTGCTTTGGTATGATTCACCAGCATGTATGTAAA